CCCCAAAACCCCAAAACCCCAAAACCCCAAAACCCCATTTTGATTAAAATTTGTAGAAATTTTAGGCGTTATAAAACCCAAGATCTCAACAGATTTTCAAAAGTGTTCATTATACCTATTTTAATGCTACCAAAAGGTTCAGAATTGACGAACGAGGAATCTGAAGAGAAAGAGGGATTTTAGAGAATTAGGATTCAGTGAAAAATTACAATATGCTTCTCACTGTTTTGGCCACTTTAAAAGTGACGACCATGAGGGAAGTTTAACCCTCCTCCATACATGTCTCTAGGAGGAATATGTAGGAGAGGACGATGTAACCTACTTGGTATCGCAATCAATGGATGCTCTCCCCTTCGACGTATTATGCTACTAATTTGAGGTCTTTGTCTCAATCTGAAGTTAAAAACGTTACGGTCATCGATTCTTTGGTCATGAATTGAAAGGAATTCATCAAAATCTGGAGATGAAACGTCTGGAGATAGAGGAGGGTCTGGTATAAGCAAAATTCTTTGTCTTTGATGCTCTCTTCTGTCTGCTTCCTCAATTTGATTATCAATCAATGCTCTCAGTAGAAGGCCTGCTGCTAGTAAGCCTTCTATGCCATCTTGCTGAATTTGGTCAGCTTGATAAATCTCCTATACAGATGTTATTACAATTCTCTAAAAGGATATACCTTTCTTCAGACTGGACAAGTGTTGTTCTGCCTCAGCCATGAGCTAATACAGTGCTTATGGAAGACATGTTTACAGTCAGGAAGAATACAGATGCCTTCTCCCTCAAGGAGCCCTAATACTTCCTCACTAGAGTAAGCAAACTCTTCCTTCTTTATTGTGTACAGTTTGAGGGATGAGTTTTTACTAAATTTATTCTGATTAGGCATCTTTCTAGGTTTTTCCTCTTTAGCATCTTTCTTGTCTTTCTGATATATAATTGCATATTCAGTTGTCTATACATGAGCAACAATATGGAGTACATTTTCACCATCTTTCCCCTCCTCAGCAGTTCTCGCCAGCATCTTCTCACACTGCTTCTTGATAAACTTGTGTTGGTAATAGTCGAATTCTTCAAAGCAAATAGTTCAGTCATTGGATTCTAGAGGTTTAGCGAAGATTTGTACCTTTATTCTTTTTTTTGGAAGATTTTTTCTTTGGCTTTTCTTCGGTCTGAGGTTCCCTGTTCTCTTTAGGACGCTAGGATAGGTTTTAAATCAAGAAATCTTACTTTTTTGATACTTTTAGTGGCCTGATTTGAGCCTCCTCAGCAGCTATAGGGAGAGATAGGATAAGAAATCAAAATTGTTTAAAAAGTAAAATCTATAAGGAATTCTAATGAAAATTTGGTGTTAAAATGAAAAATTTAATCAAAGATGCGAAATTTTAACACACAAAAACACTGTATCTAATAAAAACAACCCAATTTCTTACCCTTTAAAAAGTTTTTTGAACATTTTTTATAATTCTATTTTTATTAATTTCCACGGGGTTTTGGGGTTTTGGGGTTTTGGGGG